TGTATTTGACAGAATAAACCTGATGATGGAACGTACCTAGTTCCGAAACGTCATATTAAACATCTTCAAAAAACAAATTGTTTTTTATTATTGGATTTACTGTTCGGAAAAGAAACAATCAATATATTGAAAAAATCCAGGCCTTATATATTGAATATATATATATATATATATATATATATATATATATATATATATGAGAAAAAAATTCTATACCATATAATTGACTCATTTTTTATTAACATTTTTTATTTCAAAAAATATAATTAACAAAACATAATATGCGAATGCAATACAGAATTTGGCAATTTGGCTAATATAAAGATTCGTAAATAAGTTAAAAGTTTAAGAAAAATATGTTATACAGATCTCGAGCTCAAGATGACGAATTTCTTCCAAGCTTCTAGCGCTGAAAAAAATTAAACTAGTAACGCATGGCATTGTGCCTTAAGGAAAGTTACTGAAAATTACATTTTATAAAGAGCTTTAACATTTTCTGAAAAATGAAAAAAATTGAATTTAAAAAACCTTTCTTTTATTTTTCGAATTTTTTTAAAAAAAATTAACTTTTATTTATTAAATTTATTAAAATTAAATTTTATTTGAAAGATTTGATTCCTACTGATAACGATAACATGCTGATTAGTTATTGGCCAAGGCAGATCCAACTGTTTCGAAAATACGGGCCTAAATGCCAAACATAATAATTCAGGTTTTGAGAAACGGAACGTCCAATATCATTAAAAAAAATACATGTATAGACAAAATAAAGAACTGCTTAACTTTGTGGGAGGCAGGTCTAGCGGTGTTCCAATAAAAAAAAATTAAATAGAAACATTTGGTGGTCAAAAGTGATCATTAGACATGTGCACATCAAATTTCAGATATTTTTTATATTTCAGATATTACTCATCAAATTATCAAATATTTTAATAATAAGTATAAATTTTGTTTACATTTCTATGGGTTCTGTAATATTATTTATCCGTTATTCTGCGACGCGGCGCTTACACTCTTCTATCTTTTGTCTCTACGCAGCTAAAGCAGCGCGATTGGTTTAAAAAAATGTTGAAAATTTTCAAAATATAAAAAAAACTCAAAATTTTTCAGTTTTCAATTTTTTTTTAATGTTAATTTTTGGTAAGTATAAATTCAGGAATGGGGCGGTATTTTTGTCAGTACCCCTTGGCGGCAAATTTCTAAATCCGGCCCTGTATATATATACTCGTACATATATATTAACTGTGATATAGATTAACTGGACTAGACGAGGTTCTAAGGAAACTTTTTTGTCAATCTGGTGGGCTGGCTTAGAGGTATGCTCTGCTGGCCATTTAGCAGCCAAAAAAGATTTTTAGACATATGCACATTAAATTATCAAATATTGCTATGTTACTAAAAATAGTAACTTTTATTTTGATCTTGTTTTTTAAATTTTCATACAATTTAGAATTTTCACAAAAAAACAAAATAAGTGTTTGAAATTATATCAACGTTTCATTATTTGATAACCATACTTTGTTAATTTATTCCAATACATTTATTAAGATGCTACTATAATAAACGTAAGCTTGGAAGCTATCAAAATATTACAACGGTGTATGGATGTATGTGAGGCGCCAAATTTTATCACTGAATTAAGAACAAGCTCGTGGTTGAGCAAAACACCGATTGTTTCTATAAATGATGTTCAACGATGCAAAATTTTGTTCTGTAATAATCTCGCAAGTCTAATTTAATAATAGTGTAGGCGTATGGCAACGTCGCTATGTTAAGGGTCGTGCCGGATGGTGCGTACGGATGTGAGAACAGGCAGCCGGTCCCGGGTTGTTGTCGCGATAAGATATCTCTGTACATAAACTGTTAATAACTTTTTATTATAAATTAACATATGCATTTCATTGGTAATATACCGAAGTGGTGACCCCGACGTGATTTAGTGTGTGTGTTAATTTTAAATGAATTCACGTGCGAAGAAGTTAAATGCAGTGGAAAACATGAGTACGCCAGTAGTAGTGCCCCGCGATAACGTAAATTTGCCACATTTTTACGAGCAGGACCCAGAATTGTAGTTTGCTTCAGCTGAAAGTGTGTTTGTACACGCTAATGTGAAGGATGAAAGTGCAAAATTTCATACGGTCATTAGTAAGTTGGATCCGCGGTATGCGTCGAAAGTTTGCTATATAATTCTGAAACCCCCTAAAGATAATCCACATAGTGTGTTGAAAAAGGAATTGTTGAAACGATATGGCATTTCCGATGAAACAAAGCTACGCCAGTTGTTGGAAGGTCAGGAAATGGGTGATAGAACCCCATCACAGTTTTTACGGCACCTAAGCTCATTAGCGGGTTCAGCTGTTTCAAAAGAAATGCTAAACTTAATGTGGTCGTCGCGCTTGCCTACGCATGTGCAAGCGTTAATATCTGTACGGGAAAACAATGACATAGATTTGAATGCGAAAGCCGCCGACAGAATTATGCAATTGGAGACAGCATTGGGTGCAACAACAATGGCGATTGCAAGCACATTGTCGCACGCGGATTATTTTTACGGCAACATCGCCTCAGAATTGCGGAATATGCGAACAGAGATTTCTGACCTGAGGAAGCAGGTAGAGCGCCGACGAGACGGTTCATCCTTTTGTCGTAGGCGCAGATCGCGTACGCCCGCGAGCGCTCGGTCAGGCTCGGAAGAGCGCGTACGAACGCTGTGCGAAGATCATCGACGGTTTGGTTGGAACGCAACGAGATGGAGATCGCCGTACGACATGCGTTCGGAAAACTCCGTGGGCCATTGTTATTAGCGGCAAACGATATACGCCCAGGAAGACAGATAAGCCGCCGCGTTTGCCTAAGTGACAGAAAGAGTCAGGTGTCGTACCTGATTGATACGGGGTCGGACTTTTCAGCGTTTCCGCGCTCATTATTATGCAATCCAAATAGGAAGAGGATTGCATACCAGCTAGCCGCCGCAAATAATACGACGATTGCAACCTATGGTGCGGTGGCAATGGTGGTTGATCTTGGGCTACGTCGCGACCTGTCATGGAACTTTATTATAGCAGACGTTACGCAACCAATAATTGGTGTAGATTTTCTCGCATACTACGGTTTGATTGTGGATGTGAAAAATCGTCAAATAACGGATGCTATGACAGGATTAACGGCGCAGGCGGATATTGCAGCGGGATCAATAGCGACTATAAAGATGGTAACGGGTTCAACGGCGTACCATAAGTTTCTTGAGAAGTTTCCTGGTTTAACACGAACAGACGGCGCTGTTAGGTTACACAAGCACGCGACGCAGCACCATATAGAAACTAGTCCTGGACCGCCGGTGGTTCAAAAACCGCGGAGATTAGCTCCGGACAGACTAATTGCTGCTAGAAAAGGGTTTGAAGCTATACCGAAATTAGGAACGGCTCGACCATCAAAAAGTTGTTGGGCAGCCCCGCTACATATGGTTCCAAAAGGGTGTGATGAGTGGCGTCTATGTGGCGATTATAGAGGTTTGAATGCGCGAACGAAGTCCGACAAATATCCGGTACGTCATATTCATGATTTTGCCCAAGCCTTGGACGAAAAAACTATATTCTCGACTATAGACTTGGTGAAAGTGTTTAACCAAATTCCGGTGGCGGAAGACGATATTGCAAAAACCGGTACTAAAACGCCGTTTGGACTATATGAATTTCCGTACATGACGTTTGGATTGCGCAACGCCGCGCAAACATTCCAGAGATTTATCGATGAGGTGTTGCAGGGGTTAGATTTATGTTACGCCTATATCGATGATATTCTTGTTTCTTCCTCGTCCGAGAAAGAATATATGGCGCACCTAGAGACACTGTTTAGTAAACTTCTGGAATTTGGAGTAGTAATAAACCCAACTAAATGCGTATTCGGCCAAAGAAGTGTAAAGTTTTTGGGATATGGGGTTTTGGCTAAGGGTACTCGCCCCTGGCGAGAGAAGGTTGAAGTTATTAGGACATTCACAAAGCCAGCGACAACGCAAGAGCTGAGACGGTTTTTGGGCATGCTAAACTTTTATAGAAGGTTCATACCAAATGCTGCTCAAATTCAAGCATTCAGTTAAATGAGTTTCTGCGTGGAGATCCGAAGAGTAAAACCCCGGTAGAGTGGACAGCGCATACGTCAGCTGCTTTTGAAGCGTGTAAGGAGAGTCTGGCTCAAGCAGCACTACTATCACACCCACGCGCTAACGCTCATTTAGCTATTTTCTGCGACGCTTCAGAACATTCCATTGGAGCCTTCCGCAAACATTCCAGCTGAAATCTGATATTAACAGCAGATCTCAGCCGTTGAGCCCGACAGAGCGTGAGCAAATTGCACAACAAAACTCTTCAACAAGACGAGGACGCCGAGTTCGGTTTCCGGATTTTTGGCAGGCCGGATTTTTGTGAACTTCGTCACTAGAGGCGGATTACTGTAGGCGTATGGCAACGTCGCTGTGTTAAGGGTCGTGCCGGATGGTGCGTACGGATGTGAGAACAGGCAGTCGGTCCCGAGTTGTCGCGATAAGATATCTCTGTACAAAAAGTGTTAATAAAATATTATTATAAATTAACATACTTATTCATTGGTAATATACCAAAATAGAATAGTTTTAGTTTGTTCACTGTTCTACTCTTTAGAGTATAACGTTTCTTAATATACTGGAATATAGTACATTCCTTATTCATTATAAACCTTATATTATAAATCTTATATAATAAAAACATATGTTCATTTTGTATAATTATAATAATATAAATTTTGTACAACAATTAATATATATATATATATATATATATATATATATATATAAAATAAATATATATATATATATATATATATATATATATATATATATGCATATATACGTATATATATATATATATATATATATATACGTATATATATATATATATATATATATACTTGATAACAACATATATTACCAAACACATATTTATGCACATATAATGACACATATTCAACTAGACAGATGTAGGACAAACAACAGTCATATCACTCAAGTCATAATTTAATCCGAATCTAACTTCCGAAGATTTTGGTCTGTTGTAAATGTCATTTGCATCTGCAGATTTATAACTATCATTAGTGATTGCGGTTACTGCTCCTTGAACATTGTCAGGATTAAAATTTGTTCTGCCACGACTATTTTTTATTTTACGAGGAAACACACTATTTTCCATTTGCAATGTTGCATTCACTTCGTTACCTGCCGCACAAGTACAAGCTTTAAGAAAACTCTTTTTAAAGTTATCACTTAGAAAAGCATATAAAATAGGGTTAACCGCACTGTTCGAGTAACTAAAACACCCTGATAGTAGAAAAACTGCGACTGCCGTTCGAGTTTGGCATTGATTAGGTGGAGTGTACAATAGCGCCACTTGGGAAATCCAATAAGGCAACCAACATAGTATATATACAGTGATCACAGTCAGCACAAGTTTTGTAACTTTTCTATGTGAACGTTTTTTTTCTTTGGATTTGTTTTTTGGGCCCACTGTTCTGAGTTTTTGAATAACAAGACAATAAAATATCATAATTAATGTTAATGGTACTGCAAAACCCAAAACTAGAGAGTAAAGTGTAAACGTTGTCTGTCCATTATCATTTCCGCTTTCCGGCCACATAATGTTGCACGTAGCTTTATCTTGTGCTATTTCTATCGTACTTGCGTATAAAAAAACGGGAATCATAAATAAAGCACTAGCAATCCATGCAATAACCGAAACTATTCGAGATATAAATGGCGTTCGAAACCTTGGCGATGATATAGGATGACAGACGGCGATATATCTATCGGCACTCATTATAAATAAAAATATGCTACTTGTGAATTGATTTATACTGGTTGATATCATATACGCTTTACACATGGCGTTGCCAAATGGCCAGTGCCCTAGATGCATGGTTGTAATCAAGAATGGTATTCCCGTTAGAAAGCATTCATCAGCAATAGCCAAATTTACAATGTACATATTAGTGACTGTTTGCATTTTTGAAAAGCGCAGTACTACATATACTACCAACGTATTTCCTAATAATCCCACAATGCACACAATAGCGTATAGAATTTGTGTAATGACATTGATGTACGGAACGTTTTGAGGAAGACACATAGTTGATGTTTCTGTGTAGTTATTCCAAAATAGATCTGAGTTGTTTGTGAGTGCTCCTGTTAGATTATAAATAGCCATTGCGATTGATTGAAGTCTGATATTTACATTGTTTTAGATTGCAAGTTGATCTCATAGAACATTATTCAATAGTTGTGCATAAATTACTTTCCTTTATATTTAAATTTCTTCTCATTATTCTTTAATGTCATTTCTTAAATTTGAATTCCATCTATATTTTAAGTAATTTATACATTGAAATATGAGATGTCAAATCTGCTGAGTATTCTAAACATTATTTCTTTTTTTACACGTTGACATCGCGATAACATTTATGCAGCGATGTTGAGAATAAAATACTGCACACCTGAAAAAAGTATAAACAATATACTACGATAATTTTACCAATTAAGCGAAGAACATATATACAAATTTGAGTCTTTATCATATTATATGTTAAATGTTTTCGTGGTTATTAAAATAGAGGTATGTTAAAATATGTTACATTTCTATCATGCTAATTATTTATTTGTTATGCAGAACATGATAGCATTTATTTGTGCTCAATATATATATATATATATATATATATATATATATATATATATATGTATATATATTAGTGATGTGCCGACTCGAAAAATTCCCGATTCGAATGATTTGAATCAGAAAAAAACCTGATTCGAATCATGATTCGAATCAAGTTTATAAATGGACAAAAAAAATCATGAATGAATTTATTTAGTAAAAATGATTCAAATTTATAATCAAAATTGTTAGTTTAACCAATATAACAGACAAAGTAGAAATTGTAAACATAAATTACTATCAAAAAGTATATTCTGAAAATTATTAAAAATGATTTAATTTTAAAGGCGGTTGATACATATCTACAAGTTGATTTACAATAATAGATTACCAAATAATTGTGCATCACTAAAGCATATAAAATAATATTTGGAATCATGGGTCAATTGTTTATTTTACTATGTAATCAGTAAAGGATCGCAACTAAACTGAGAGCTGAAAGTTAATTTTATTAATGTGAATTAGCCATTACTTACATAATCAGAAGTTGAATATAATTTACTGGCTTTCTGGTGTTTTGTAATTATAAAAGGTAATTATACTTATATAAAAAAGGGTATTATATTGAAAGATTCCCGAAACTTGTTTCATAATTTTGAGTGGATTATTTTGATAACATTTAAAATCTAAAACACTTAATTATTATTAAAATTGGGTATTGATACTTCACCAACAAAATCGCTCTCAGCGCTCTGTAAAATAAATAAACACGCAAGAACGACGACGCATTGTATCTATTTCGAACTCATATCGCAAGTCAGATTAATGCGGTTTGAGTCATATGAAGTCGATTGAAGTCTTATCGCTCGAAGTCGGATTGATTCGGTTTGAGTCATATGGACTCGATTGAAGTCTTATCGCTCGAAGTCGGAATGATTCGGTTTGAGTCATATGAAGTCGATTGAAATCTTATCGCTCGAAGTCGGAATGATTCGGCTTGAGTCATATGAAGTCGATTGAAGTCTTATCGCTCGAAGTCGGAATGATAGTTAGTCGATGAATGCGGTTAAAGTCATATAAAGTCGATTGGAGTCGGGTGATACATTTAAGCGTATTATATATATATATATATATATATATATATATATTATATATATGTATATATATATATATATATATATATATATATATATAGAGATGGGCTTATCATATCCGAAGCCGGATCGGCTCGGATTTAACTCCGCTTCAGGGAGGAGTTATATCCGCTTAACAACTCCACGACTCCGACAACTTTGAAACCGAAATACTCGACACAAATGCGTCGAGTACGTTGTTTATGCATCTAAGGATTTTCCAAATCCCATTTAATTTTTTTAAATGAAAATTTATGAATAAAATAAAATTAAAAAAATATTAATAAAATAATTTTTCTAAAAAATTCACAAATAAATGACGAGTTGTAAAACTTTTCGGTCGACCACATGATCGACTCAACGACTCGTAATTTTAACAGTGTTGACCAAAGTAAAAATGCAAAACTTTCTTTGATGAGAAAATAATTGATTTTTTGGAATAATTTTATATAAAAATAATGTAGTAAACTTTGTAATAAAAGCAAAACACTTATCATGAAATATTTTCATCAAATAATAATACTTCTGCTTTATAATTTTTTCTTCTGCTATTTCCATTCGAGAATTAATATTATATCAGGTAGTTCGATTAGCATATTATTACTTTTATACAATTATATAATTGTGTAAAAGTAATAATATAATATAAATATTTTTTGCTGGTTAAATACATTGACGTCACTGATATATTTTACACTCTAAAAAGTATTGTTATTTCAGGCTATGGAAAAACAGACTAAATGTGTCCAAATTCACGGCCAAAGATTGCCGTAGTTAGAAATATGACCCCTTACTATTCAATAAATTATACATTGGAGTTATTCACACTTGAACACAATTTCATTGTTCTATATCTTTGAAGTAATATTTTTGTATTTTCTGGAAAAAAACGTATACCTAAAAGGTCATAAAACTGCCTGTTTAGAAGACGAGAAAGCGACAGCTTCCTTAGTACCAGTGTTCGCGCCAATTAAAGCATGCGGTTATCTTCTATATATATAAAAATAAGTCGGGTTTTCCTTCCTGACGAAATAACTCCAGAACGCACGAACCGATTTCGACAATTTTGCATTCGTTGGAAAGGTCTCGGGCTCCGCAAGGTTTTTAGCTAAGAAAATTAGTTGTGAATGGCATCGTGCCTTAATGCAAGCTGCTGGAACTTCACGCACCGTAATTAAAAATTCTAATAATGACATTAGTGAGAATTATCAGAATTATGAATCTTGGTTAAGTCAACGAGCAATTCTTGCCGCAAAGAATAATGATGTACACGCACTGAATTTCACCATTCAATCAAAAATTGCTGGCGATTTGGTGACATACCAATGATTCTGACTGGTCTTCAAACTGGTTTGACTTCAAACGATTGCAATTTCCAGTTTGCCTTGCGTTCGCAATAACAAGTCTCAAGGCAAATCGCTTAATGTTTGCGGGATAAATTTTAAATAGATTATTTAGAAAATCATTGTTTTTCACATGGGCAGTTATACGTTGCCTATTCACGAGTTGGAAAACCATCCGCTTTGTTTGTGTTAACGTCAGACCAAAAAACAAAAAATGTGGTTTACCAAAGAGCACTTCAATGAAACGGGTAATTTGCGAATTCACTTTCATTTACTTAGAGAAGTTCAACTAAAAAACACTTCATTTTTGTAATCGAAATAAATTCATTACTGTTGTATAATAAAATCAAATTTTTTCTTTTCATATATAAAACAAACAAAAAATTTCTTCATCTGTCTCATGAAACCATCTGGTGGCGAAACGGAGTTCGTCGGGTTTGCTAGTATTGATATATAAACAAAAAATCATCAGTCGAAAATCACAAAATAAATAAAATCAATCAATACGTTATCAAAAAACATATTAAAATTATTGTAAATACACTTATAACTTGTTATTAACATAAAATAAATATTACTAGTTACAAATTATAGTATTTTACAATTGGTCCTTCAAAATTCAATCACAACAATCATTGAATAAGCAACCAGTTTAGGGAAGTCGGATATGACAAATCCGGCGAGACAACTCCACTCGTCCACCACAGTGATAACTCCGGAGTGAGTTACCCATCTCTAATATATATATATATATATATATATATATATATATATATATATAATACATATTATATATATATATATATATGTACATATATTTATATATATATATATATATATATATATGTATGTATATATATGTATGTATATATATACAAATATATATATATATATATATATATATATATACAGGGCCGGTCCTGCCTTGCATGCGATGCATGCAAAAAATGCGGGCGCACGCCTTAGGGGGCGCCAAAACAAGTTTCGAAAATTAAATTTATATTTTTTATATAAAATCTGGAATTATTTATATAAAATCTAGAATACTTAATAAATAATAATAAACAATCTAACTTAACTAGGGATACGGAGACACAAAAAGCATATTTATTTTGCAATGTGATATCAGTAGAAGCAATTAATCGATTAATAAATGACTCTGCAAATTAGTGAATACCAGCTCTATTTATTGCTTAATCTTCTTATTCATTTTTTTTAAGTTGCCGTGGAATCAAAGAAGAAATCATCTAGTGTCAATCCCATAAGCGCAAACCTGCGAAAGATTAAATTCGGAAAAAAGGGTAGTCAGTGCTTTAATGGCATGTTTACTCCGAAGAATAGAATTGTAACTTTTATTTTTGTAGCAAATGTTTTGCATCTGATGAATTTTGAATGTTGAAGATATGCGTAGTTAGGGTTATGGAAATGGAACAAATATGAAAAATAAAAGCAAAATTTACTTTGGAACGAAAATCTTAAGGCTTTTTCATACCTAGTGGTGCCCATACTCTAAATTTTTAACTATGCGGAAATAATACATATAAAATATAATGAGATTTTTTTCAATATAGTTTAAGAAATGTGTAATTTCTTTACAGTTTTCACTGATTTTTGGACAATACTTCTAAAATTTAACTTTAAAACAACAAATTCTTACTCTGAATATAACGGGAAAGCCTGGATGAATACAATTCGGCTCTTACGATATCAATAAAAAAAAGTTTACGACGTAATTTTGGATATTGTAAATGATGAAAAATTAAATTAAATTAAAATTTAAAAAATCCAACATGAAATACGAGTGTTATGATTGAAAATGGAAAGCTAGTTTTTTTAGCTCTCTTGGAATGATTTGCTCAATAAAATATATAGCATAATGAATAAGTAAAATGTTTTAAAACCCAAATATTATAATTGCACATACGCTAAAAATAATTGAAAATTTAAAAGTATTTAATTATAATCGCCACTATTTTCTAAATAAATTTAAAATGAATATATTTTATACGATTTTAGATTATATCTAATTATTTGAGTACTAAATCTAGAATAATTAAAAAATTAATTAATTATAAACTGTTAAAACAGTTAAAATTAATAGGGGGGGGGGCGTTAGAAAAAAAGTTGCATGCGGGCGCTAAGAATCCCAGGACCGGCACTGTATATATATATACATATACGTGATATAAAAATATGCAACATCAACTTAAGATATTAGCATTTAAAATACATAAATATAACAGTGTATTCAAATTTTAGTTGCGTAAATAACCATTCCAAATAATAGGCAATAATAAAAACCGTTTAATGATATTGCAAAAACAATTCATTCTTAGCTTCTTTAACACTTTCGACTCGGGAGT